TAACAGCACAAATAGACTAAGATAGGATTATTTTGTCTGCCACCAAATTCCTATGTCCAACCCCTAATATCCAATGTGACTCTATTTGGAGATATGGCTTTTAGGAGGTAATTAAGGTTAAGCAAGGCCTTGAGGATGGGGCCCTAATCTGATAGAATTGATGGACTTATAAAAGGAGAAAGAGAGAGACCTCTTTCTCCCCAAACATGTGCCAAGAAAAGACCATGTGAGCATATGGTGGGAAGGTGGCCATCTACAAGCCAGGAGGAGAACTCTCACCAAAGCCTGACTATGTGGCAGCTTTGATCTTGGACTTGAAGCCTCCAAAAGTGTGACGAAATTAATTTCTATCGTTCAAGCACCCAGTCTCTGGTATTTTATGGCGGCCCAAGAAGACTAAGGCAGAGATTAAATGCTTTGCCTGAAGTTAAAATCAATAACCGATAAAGCCAGGAAGCAAACTCAGTCCCTTTGAATGTTCAGTGAAACTTTATCGTGTACCAGTCTCTCTTCAACCCCAGAGCGCGCATGGTGTATTTAGTGGGTTGTTAATCCGTAAGTGGTCCATAATACTTAAAAATAAACTTATTAAACAAACTAAGAGTTGCCTTCTAAAAATGAAAAGAACTGTGGAACTGTTGTCTACATTTTCATATAATAGTATGTATATTTGAAATAGTAGCAACAATAGCTATATTTTCTTATCCAGTTATAAGAGTGGGACATTAAACAGGACAATAAATACATTGCAAAACACGGAAAACCATGATATTTTCCAAATACAACCATTCCATTTGGTTGTGTATATCCTTCCCATTTTTTTTTCCCTAAATACACATTTTTTTAATCAAGAAGTGGAAAGGTCAACAATGCAGAGACTAAGATTGTACCACGGTGTTTCATATATGCCCATAAAAAGGAGTCCACAGATGCATTCTCCATACACTAAACAGTGAAAAGAGCGTACTCCTTTGCCACGCCATACATTCACGTTTCAGAACGCACATTCTGGAAAGCACCCCCAGTTTAAAGTTAGTATTTGCCAAAAACAGGTCACTATAGTTTATTTCAGGACACCGACTAACCTTGACTGGTCAGAATACCCCAGCTAGCTTTTCGCTCAGAAGAACATTCTTCTACGCTCACTATCCTTTTAGTGAGGATCTGCTTTACGCAGTGCTTGTCAACAGCAATATCTGCGCGCATAGCGGGGCTGACGTTTCTGTCTGTGACAACCAGGTGTCATAGGGCAAATGCTCTAGCCAGAAGAAATAGCAGCGACTGGATTTCTAGCTACGTTTTCCTCCCCCTCGGACTTTCACAAAGATTCCTGTGTGCTTAACTGGGGAGGGGCCTGGACACTGAGCTCTATTCAGAAGCGCTCGCGGTTGGGAAGGAGCGGGTGGGGGATGGGACAGAAGAGCAGTAGGATTTTCTATTTTTAAAGTGGAGACTGAGCTGCAGCAGGAAGTATTTAACTATTTGCACAGTACAGAAAGGAAAACGTGTAAAATTGCATTTCCCACTCGGAAACAGAATAGACATGAACTCCATACTTAAAATTGGAAAGCCGATTTGAATTATGTACAAATCCGTCCCTTGTGAAATTGCCCCTTGAAAACGGGTACAGACAGAACGCTAGAGCCAGAGAACTCAGAGATCGGTCACTAGTGAGCCTGTCTTCTTCATCCTCGGGAATAAATAGTGAACGTGCATTAGCGTCAGCTGGTAGGTTGCTCTTGTTCGTTTGGTAAGAACCTAAGTTTAGAATTGGCTTCCATAAAAAATCACAGCCCTGCTATTTACATAGGCACAGCTCACCACTGTGATTCTTCTGGAGGTCATTTCTAGGCCAGAAGGCGTCAGTGGTCAATTTAAGTACAACGGAGAGTGTTCACCCTAAAAGGCAGAGCAAAAAGAGAGGAAAAACCACATGTGTGCCTGGCACGTAAAGTTGAACGAGGTATGGTGGCCATGACCGAGTGGACAGCAGTGACTAGTCCACGGTAGGTCTCCAAGGATTAACTGAGCCGGGGGTGATGTTACACGGTATTAACATACGCAGCTCTGTCTTGATGAAAAATGGTCACGGATTCCATTCTCTGTCTTTACCTTTTTATCACTACTTTTAGGCTCTACTTTCCATTGGTATTTACAGGAAAAAAAAATTATTGGGCTATTGCCTTCATATAACAAACCGGGTAAAAACAAAAACATTTTGTGAGTAAAGTTATTTCCCGTGCATGACCCTATTCAGAGTTGCTGCCATATTCCATTGCCAGTATTTACCTCAAAATTATCACCAGTGGATACCACTATCTTTTTTTTATCTTTAATTAAGCTTTAATCCTACAAACTACATGACTTGGCATGAGCAGCTTAATGATACGTAGATGTCCCTCTTCTGCAGAATGAAGAACTTGCATAAGATTACTGTCTTCTTGCTCTAACATTCTTTGATTCGGATTCTAGGACTCACGTACAAAGGGCAAGCTGGCACGTGAGCTGTAAGCATATACTATGGCCACAAAGGAGGCCAGACTTTGCCAGGAAAACTGGACCAGCTCAGCTGAGGCAGCTCGTTTGGGGGGCACATTCCTAGGCCAAAGTCCAAAGGCAAAGGCCAAAGGGTCGTCAATGAGGGGCTTATTCAGTCCACTATATTTCCATGTCCCGTTGTCAGTAACCATATGCTCTTTGTCCCCAGGTGGTTCCCATATGGGGAGTATGCTAATCGACATAAGCCACACTGTGAAAGTAAATACTAATTTTTGTTTTTAAAAAACCTCCAATTTTAAGCTTTTGACTTTTTGGCTTTCTACTTTTCATTCATGGTTGTAAGATAAATATAGGGTGCTTTATTGTAAGAATTGGGACAATTTTTGTTCCTAAATAATTTTGGACACCAGATATTGTAATTATTTCTATGACGTCCCCTCCACTGGGTTGGGTCCTCAGAGTACATACATCTGTGATGTCACAGATCTACCACACTGCACCTCTTAAATAGTGGGCTCTCAAAAAAAAGAAAAAAAAGTTAAAGTGCAATTTGAATATGGAATTCCAAAGAATACTTCAATACTTCAAGAGGGTTTTATGTAGCCCACGGGGGTAATACATTTCCAGTGCAGTGGGGAGAAAAAAAGCCATTGGATTTCATCGTAACTACATACTTAGTTAAGTGAGATATGGGCTGACCTGCAGAATACATAAGATAATTCACATAAATAATCAAGTGGACTCAGGAAATAACAATTACTTCTTTCAAAAATTTTAGGTGCATCCAAAGCAAAAGTAATTTTAAAAAATGATTCCAGGAAATTGAAGGAAAATGTTGTTACAGTTAATTTACTGGAAAAGACAAGGAACAAAATATTAAATCTATGCCGTAGCTCAACTGTATGATTTCATTAAAAAAATGCACAGTGAAGTGAATGTGCTTGGGACCAAATCATTCAAATACTGGATATCTGAGATTGTATAAATATGAACACACTACGAAATATCTGGATATATAGAAGAACCTAGCATCTTTCCTCGTGTCAGTGCAAAAGTGGATTCGGTAAGCGGCAGGGTATCACTGGGCCCTGTGAGGAGACAGAAGTTTTAAAGCAAACCGGTATTAGAAAAAATACTCCAGGAAATAATTAAAATGATATTCCATAGAAGATAACGGACTCTGAAGTATTATGTCTCAGAAAGAGCATCTGAAATACACTGTAGATTAGAGATGACATACTATTACTACCCACAAAGGCTAAAATAAAATTTTACACCTTTTAGGCAAGATATGGGAAATGAAACGGGGCCATTCTATTCCCATTTTAATCATCGCTAATGTGTCGGAAAACTCGGGAACCTAAGTTTGGGCTGGTTGCCAATCCTCAGTGAGAAAGTGCTGTGAAGGCTGGAGAAGTTTCAAAGAAGGACACTGGAAACCATCAAAGAGCTAAAGGCACTTCTAGAGGAGAGCAATCTTAATACTTGAGAAATTTCAAAATGGAAAGTTGAAATCTAAGAGGGATATGCTAGAAAGAAATCTATGTAATTATGCAATGCACTGTTAGGAGTGAGTACACATTTTCAAGAAATTCTGAAAAACTAGAGAGTTGGATCCACTTCTGACAGTTTTCAAATTACATGTGGGACACAAACATACACTCTCTCTCTCTTTTTTTTTTTTTTGTTTACACAACCAATCACAAACTTTAGGAGCTCATTGCTTCCAAAAGGCAGTGTTGAGCTACCACCTGAATCTTCAGAAACAGATCAAGATGAAGAGACTCCAGCTCGGATCCGGGTTGGCAGTTTCCCCGCCCCCCCTTATGACAATGGAATATTCTAAACATGTACACTATCCACCACCCAGTTCAACATTTACCAATTCACAACTCGTCTTGTTCATCTTCAACCCACCCACAGCCCTCCCTTACCCCACTCCTGGGATTATTTTGAAGCAAACCTCATTATATCATTTGACCCATAAATATTTCAGTATATACCTCTAAAAAGATGAGGATTCTCTGCAATCATAACTATAGTACCATAATCACACAAAAGCAGTAATTCCATATATCATCACACACACGTGGATAATTTTTATTTTCTGAAGAGCAACCCAGTTCATAAACTGCCTTCTAGAATAATACTTACATTGATCATGTTTAGATTCTTTTTTCTTTAATTTTATGTTATTATGTTATGTTAATCACCATACAGTACATCACTGGTTTTGGATGTAGTGTTCCATGGTTCATTGTTTGCATATAACACCCAGTGCTCCATTCAATACGTGTCCTCTTTAATACCCATCACCAGGCTTTATCTTAGGGCAAAAGTCTGTGATCTCTCCGTTTTCTAAAAATTTTTTTTTAAAAATGTAAGCTTCCCATCCTTAAAAAAAAAAAAAGTTTCTTTTCTCTAACGTACCAATGACTCACGAAGTGCAAGATAAAAACTTCACCTTAAATCATCACAAGATATGTTAGATTCCCTTGTACCTGCTAGTGCCAAATTTCCGCCCTTGTACCGTCGCATCTGGAATGGGCCATTGCTCCGTTCTGGGAGGCCGCCTTGCTGTGGGTGTCTCTACCAGGCCACGCACACATGGAGCTCAAAACCATCATCCCTGAGCCCCACTCCTGTTGCTCCATTTTACTGTTTATTGTATGTTATGTAAACATGGGTACCTAAATCTGTTGGCCTAGGGAAGGGGAGCGAGGGCAGAGGAGGTCTGAGGGCAGGCCTGACCTTGGGGAAAAGCAGAGTGATTGTTATCTAACAGTGAACCTTTGTCCGAGGGTCATTCACTTCTCCTCTGAAGGTTGCTGGGAAACCTACAGTGACATCTTGTGGTCCCAGATCGCTCCTCTCTTAGTTGGAACGGAGCGGTTAGGAAAGGCCCCAGGGGTCTGAGAAATCACAGTTAGAGAACATACAGTCAGGATCCTCACCAAACCGCCCGTATCACAGCACTGCCTAACCACAGTGAAGAATACTTTATGAGCTGGTGTGGGCAAGGCTTTGAGAATAAATGTTAGGTAAGGAGGCTCTTTCAATATTATCAACTTGTTGTGGGATGATTTTTTTAAAAAAGTAGAAGCATAATATAAAATCCAGTTAAATGTAGTTTGAAGTAACAAAATTATATGCTTACATACAGTATTTTTTATGGTAGATCTTGAAACAGATAGGTAAGGGGTTCTGTTGAAGAAAACGTACTTGTCCCCATCATCCAGGACCCTTCACAATGCAGAGTAAGTCTCTTTTAGCTGTCATGTAAGGGTGATTTCTACCATATTCACATATTTGTTAATATCGAGAGTTAAAGTCTTCTCAAAATGTCTAAAATATCTTTTTCAACATTATAATATAAAAGATGTCTCTGAATTTGGGATATTTTTTTACTACACCGAAAGATGTAAATGATTTTTCAAAAGAAAGACACAAATAACCCCCATAGGTAGAACGAAAATAATAAAATACAATTTAAATTCAAAATCCTTAAATGTTTAGACCATAAGAGACTAGCATAAACACTAATGACTAAAGTATGTTAATTTCTAGTTGTATAATGACCAAGGAAGGTGATGAAATGTCATTTATTCATGCTTTCATTCACCCATTCACTCAATATTTCTTAGATGTCTACTGGGTGTTATGTTCTGGGTACACAGAGATGAAAGGACAGTTGCTGTCTACTTGAACCTTACACTCCAGGTAGGCATTTCAGAATTGGCGTGAATCTCCATTACTGTCTAAGAAACGTCTGTACGCTTGGGAATCAAGAGCTCTTAGACTCATGACAAACTTGGAAATTCCCATAGCTAGCTTGCAAGGATGCTCCTTAAGAAGTATCCACAAAATATCTGATTTACATGTAAGTTTCATTGAAGTTTCATAAACTGTAAGCAGTAAGTAGCGATTCTCCATATGTTATCGTAGACAGTGTATTTCCATTACTAAGATTTTTATGAAGCCTAAAGCAATTTTGTGAAAAAGTGGACAAAATATATATATATATTTGCTCTTGCTGTTACTCTTAACACGGTATCTTGGAAAACATTTGGCTAGTGTGCAAACTGTGAAATGAATGGAGAGGTATCACAATGCTATTATGAAAGGAAAAAATAAACAGGGAAAATCTAACCAAAGATACCAATTCTGGTTTTGAAACAGAACTCAACATTTCTCCAGGCTTCTGCGAAACATATTTTTAGAAGAAACTGTATACTGCATTAAAAAAAAAACCCTAATGTTATGTTTTAGCCACAATACATAGAACGAAAAGATTTAAAACTCTCAATGATGTAACTAGTTTTTATCAACTCCACATGCATCAGCAATGTAGCTACCCTTGGTTTAACAAATCTCAGGAGATCTTTGTTTTTAAAAAAATTTGTATTTATTTTTTTTTTAGAGAGAGTGAGCAAGCACAGGGATGGGGTGGGGGAGGAGGAGCAGAGGGCTAGAGAGAATTTTAAGCAGACTCCACAATGAGCATGGAGTCTGACCCGGGCTCAAGCGCACGACCCTGAGATCATGACCTGAACCAAAACCAAGAGTCAAACACTTAACTAAATGAGCTACCTAGGAACCCCTGGTGAGCCACTTTCTAATAGAGCCATTCATTCCAACATAGTATAATAGTTAGGAGCCTCAACACTGCCCTCAAACTACCAAAGCTGGGTCCCTATCTCAGGCCAGGCAAATACTAAATTTGTTACCTTGAGAAAGTTACTTCATTTCTTTGTGCCTCAATTTCCTTATCTGGAAAATGGGATGACAATCCTACCACACAGGATTTCTGTACAAATTAAATGAATTAATAGATAAATCAGAACTAAGCTTGGTATACAGTTAGCCCTCAATTAATGTTAGTTTTTATGACATTATTCTTGCTAGTGTAATGTAGGTATAAATACGTCATTCGTGCTTTCTTCAACAAATCTTGTCTTTCTACTTAGTAGTAAAGTTAAAAAGCAAATTCAAAACTCACAATGCTCAAGCACTTCAGTTACTGGTAAGCCCCACAAATATTCCTGGTTCTTTAGTTGCTCAGTCACTGTGGCATATATAAAACAGTTCTTGTTCGACTAGATAAAACTTTGCTACTTTGTAAGAAAAACGAAACAAAACAACCAACCAAACAAAAATAGCTAACAAAAATTAAGACCCTCTACAATTGCAGGGTAAGGGATCTCTGCAAGGCTGTTGTCTTTGTAGGCGTGTTGGGCTTGGAGTCACCCTTAGGCTGTCTGGCTGACAGTTGGCAACAGAGCCGATTGCAAGTCAGGGAGCAGAGACTTCCCGAAGCTCTGAGGAAAACCGGGAACAGTGTTTGTCTATCACCACCTCCAACCTCAGCGATGTGGGTGACCCAAGGAGAAACTGGCGCCCTTGACCACAGAATGCACACCCACCTGGCCTGGGACTCCGAGACATCAAAGCCAGCCATCTGGAGGGAGCTGAGCTCGCTGTGGGTTTCGTGCAGCCAGAGGACCGGTGACATGTGCAAGCCAACAGCAGTGCCTACACGAACCTTGAGAGCGTGAAACTGGCAGCTCTTTTTTCTGCCACCTGAATGTTATGCAAAGTTCTCCTCTGGCCCGTCCCACCCCGGAGCAACACTAGAAAGGGAATTCTGGGACGCAGTTCCGGTATAACTGAGTTGACACAGTACAAAGCCACTACAGGGTACCGCTACTAACTCCATGAAGTGAGTTGCGGACAAGTCCCTTGCTTTCTCTGCCGTCACGGTTCACCTGTTAGAATATTTCTGACTTATGATGCTTGGTAGGGGCCCCAGGTAAAATCATCTGCCCCTGGATTTTTTTTTTTTGGGGGGGAGGAAGTTTTAAAACTTGTGATTATATCTCTATTAGTGATTCTAGGATTAGTTAGGTTCTTCATTTCTTCAAGAACAACTTCGACAAGTCGTATTTTTTTTTTTTAGGAAATTGTCTATTTCATCCAAATAGTCCCAATTACTGGCATTAAGTTGTTAAATAAAACCACTTATTTGGAGTCCCACATCAGGCTCCCTGCTCAGCGGGGGGGTCTGCTTCTCCCTCTGACCCTCTTCCCTCTCATGCTGTCTCTCATTGTCTCACTCTCAAATAAATAAATAAAATCTTTAAAAAAAATATCATTGACACCTGCTTTATGTTCTCTTTTGAATCCCAACTATTGTTTATGTGCACCTTGTTTTGACATCGGTGTACCAATCTCATTAGTCTCTCAACAGATCACCTTTTAGCTTTGTTTATAATTTGTTTATAATAAGCCACTTTATTAATTTTTGCTTGAGACTCTATTATTTTCTTACTTCAATGTGTGAAAGTTGACTGTGTTGTTCTTTTTATAATTTTGATCTCTAAACCTCTGAGTTCCTTAAAGACATTTTCTTAATTTCCAAACATAGGAGTTTTCTTCTAATTACATTTTGTTCATGATTTCTACATTGATTTTACTGAGGCTCGTGGATATGTTCCATTATCAGAGGCAGCAAATGCTGTTTTGTGGGCCAAATCTGTCCTACCATCAGTTTTGGTAAATAAAGTTTTATTGGAATAGAGCCAAACACATTCATTGACAGATCATCTGCTTTTACACCATAATTGCAGCGCTGAGACCATACGACGCACATAGAATACTTGCTCTCTTATCCTTTACAGAAAAGTTTCCCGACCTACAGCCTATATAATAGTAATCATTTGAACTTTACTGAGACATGCTTTATGGCCCCGTGTATACTCAATTTTTGAACTCAGTTGAACTCAAATATTCAAAATGTACCTGAAGCAATGAGGACAGAGAGTTCTATATCCAGATTAGATCTACATTTTCAATTTCTTCTGAATGTTTGCATAGTCATCAATGTTTGTCTGCTTAATCTATCAATAACTAAGAGAATTCTGTTAAAGTTTTCTTTCTGCTTTTAGATAAGTCAATATTTAGAAGTTTTCATTTTAACGCAATTTTATTGGGTGAATACACAGGATTGTTATAGCTTCTATGTATAAATTCATCTTTTATCATTACATAGTGGCATTTAGTCATGTTTTTTTGCCTTCAAGTCTTACCTCATATTAATATGGTGATACATTTTCAGGGAGTATTTCTATTTCTATTGGGCCTATCTTTCTTGATCCTGTATTTTCAACTTTTCTGAATCCTTATGTTTTAGATGGCTCAGTTAAAATATATTGCTGGGTATTACCCCCCAAATATGAAAATTGTTATCTTTAATCTAGAGAATTCAAGTTATTTATTTAAAATTATTATTTAAATTACTGATATATTTAACTATTGGTATGATATTTAGATTGATTTTTCCCATATTAGTTTTGTACTTTGTATTTTCCCCACGGTTTCTATGGTCTCTTTCTTTAGTTCTTTTGGTTTGATTAATTTTATGATTCCATTTTCCCCTAGTCTTCTCTGAAAGTTATGTACTGTATTTTTAAAAACTGTGTGCCAAATGTTTTATTCAGACTCAGACACTAAAGAGAGCTAGAGAGTCTGGGTGGCTCAGTGGGTTAAGTGTCTGCCTTTGGCTCAGGTCATGGTCCCAGGGTCCTGGGATGGAGCCCCACATCGGGGTCCTTGCTCAGCGGGGAGTCTGCTTCTCCCTCTACCCCTCCCCCTGCTTGTGTGCTTGCGCTCTCTCTCACAAAAATAAATAAATAAAAAATCTTCAAACACTAAAGAGAGCTAGAATAAAATTATACCCATGATCTTGTCTGCAGAAGTGACATCTTTCAAGTATAAGTTTGGAGTGGCCCATGTCCCATACACCAAAGCACAAATTCATTTTTATACGGGGCATCACATGTAAACCACATTTATATCCACAGCTACTTACATCTATAGTACAAAATACAAAAATTGTTACTTATTACCTGCCAATTATGACTCTAAATTATTTTTTAAAGATTTTATTTATTTATTTGAGAGAGAGAGAGTGAGAGAGAGCATGAGAGAGGGGAGGGTCAGAGGGAGAAGCAGACTCCCCGCTGAGCAGGGAGCCCGATGTGGGACTCGATCCCGGGACTCCAGGATCATGACCTGAGCCGAAGGCAGTCGCTTAACCAACTGAGCCACCCAGGCACCCATGACTCTAAATTATTATATATGATTTGAATCTGAAACCTCTCTTCAGAAATAAGACCTCATATCCAGGGCAGAGAAAAAATCATTCTCTAAAAATGGCCAGCTCTGCTATATCTCCATTTTATCGTGCTCCCACATGAAAATAGCCAAACTGAATAGTCACTTCAGTTAAAATGAGCCATGCCTCACTTCAGCCACCACCCTCCTTATAATTTGTGCTCTGCACCTGGCTTTGCAAGAGTTATCACCACTCCATTGAACATTGTACTGAAGGTTTTAATCCATAGAGTAACTGAGGAAGAAGAAATACATAATGGTACAACAACTGGAAAGGAAGAAACAAAACTGGCATTATATATTCGCAGATGATATTATTTTCGACCTAAAAAAACCCCCATAGAACCTACAGATTCTTATTAGAATTAATGAGAGTATTAGTATTAACCAAAATAGAAAATATTGATAAATTTGACTATTTTTTAAATAAAAATTTGTTTATTTATTTGAGACAGAGTGAGCGAGCATGTGTGTGGGGGAGGAGAGGCAGAGGAAGAAGGAGAGAGAGTCTCAGGTAGACTCCACCCTGAGCGCGGAGCTGGAGGCAAGGCTCAATTCCAAAACCCCAGTCGAAAGTAAGAGTCCGACACTTAACCAACTGTGCCAGGCACCCCTAAATTTGACTATTTTAGATAAAGAGCGTCTGCTCACCAAAAGAAAAACCATGAAAAGTGAAAGCCAAGCCACAAAACATATTTGTAAGTAGTGTTTTTAAGTTTTTTTTTTTTCATTTTCCATTTAATTGCTAGGCCATATAAATAACTTCTAAAATCAATGAAAAACAGGGCAGAAGACCCAATAGAATCGATGGCAAAATATTTGGAAGGCACATCACAAAAATGGAAGGTACAGATGGCCAATAAAGATGAAAATGGCATTATTAGGGAAATGAAAATTAAACCATAAGATATCTCTACATGCCCACCAGATTGGCAAAAATTAAGAATACTGACAACACCACATATTAGCAATAATGGGAAGCACCATGAATTCTCATACACTGTGGATTTCACTACAGATAAAATCATGTTGGAAAACAGTGTAATAGCAACTAAAAAAACCAAAGATACACATGCTGTATGACCTGGCACTTCCACCCCTGGAGCTCGACAAACTTATTTGTACTAGATGTTTCTATCAATGTGATTCATAATTACCCTGAATTTGGAATTTACAGCACTGAATATGAATGAGTCAATTGATAAAAAAATTTAAAAGCAGGCTAAACCAAATTGTTACCTACTTGAGGTATAGTCAGGGGAGTGAAACCTATAAAGGCAAGAAAATGATTGCTGTAAACGTAGTCACCCTCTCTCTGGAGACATGGGAGAGGGTGTTGTGGATGGAGAGGGGGAAACAGCAGAGAGGAAGACAAAATACTCGACCAGAGCACCACTCCAGCAGGACTGCTGAGGAAAGCTGCCCACTGTGTGCCTCCAGCGACCTTGGGTGACCCCTGAAGTGATTACGTGAAAATGTGTCTGCAAGACCACGGGGACTGTTCTAAAATCATTGTCATTATCTGTTATTTGCTGACTCGTGACAGTCCTGAGCAGTGCCATTGCGTTACATTCTCCATGTTCCGGCACAGGGCGGGTGCGGTCACGGGTGTGATAAACTCACAGAAAGGAACTCAGGTTGTCTGTGCTAAAGGCTTCTCTGGTCAAAAATGATCCACCAATAGTCAAAATAACATGAAAGAATCATGGTGCTTCAGAGCTGAAGTGGACTTAGATGCCATCTACTTCGGTGATTTACAAATGGTTTCAAAGAACCCTGGGAGTTCAACCCATCTGCCTTGGAGCATGCTAGCAAAGCATGGGGCTCTGCCTTCAAACAGCACGGTTGCCATTTTATCAGCTTCACAAATCGAGCTTCCAGATCATAAGAAAAAAAAAAGTCAATACCTTAAAAAAAGAAAGGTTCAAAACCCGCTGATCTTGTCTAACTTCTTCATTTTGCAGGTAAAGAAACTGAAGTCACGAGAGGGTAGGCGGTGTCCCCAAAGTCACCCAGAGTGTTACCAGTAAAGCAAGACAGGAACCAAGATTGTGTGCTCCCTACCTGTTCTCTTTCCAATGTACGGCATTGCTACTTAACACCAGGGGCACCTGGGTGGCTCCGAGTGTTGGGCGTCCAACTCTTGATTTCAGATTGGGTCGTGATCTTGGGGTCATGGGATCGAGACCCATGTGGGGCTCCACGCTCAGTGTGGAGTCTGTTTGAGAATCTCTCTCCCTCTTCCCCTTCCCCACTCTCTTAAATAAATAGATAAAATCTTTAGAAAAAAATAAGGAAGGCAAAAAACAGATCTGACAACCAATAGCACCTACATCATAAGATTTTTGTAAGGATGAAATGAGTTTATGATCATACATGATTAGAACGGTCCCTGGCACATGGCTCAGAACTAGGTTGGTGTTTGCTATCATATGCTCATAAAATGACACTTTCCTCCTTGTTCCTTCTCTTTACCCACTTGGCTACAATGTTCTATCTCTACCAGCTGCCAACTTGAAATTTAAACAAGGTCCACAAATCCATACAAGGAATGAAATCAGCAACCTGTGTTCTCTGGTCTGAGCACAACAGCTGCCAGGAAGAAAATCTGATATGCACCACGGACAAGGACTTAATGTAAGAACAATTTTACACATACGTCTCCTCCTCCCCATAGTTCTAGCCACAAATAGTTGTATCACCACCAACCATGTGCTCACGGAAGGTTGAGGCGCTGGCACAGCTTCGGTGTTTTCTGTTGATACTGAACAGAGAGGGGTACTGATGTTTGTTTCTGCCACGTTGAACGGACGTGCGGAAGCGGGTCTTTAGAGCACAAAGCAGAGAAAGTCAGGAGTCCCGGGTGTGCTGGCCTCAGGTGCAGCTTGGCATGCCACCGAGGCCTCGGTACACTTTGGCGGGCCCGCTCTGGGGTCCTGGGGGCATTCTGTCCTTACGCAACTGTCCCTAAACAGGAGTCCTACCCCACACTGTGGAGGCTACAGCTGTCTCTTGCCTCGGTGTTACCTTAACTACAAAGAATTCTGGACACGGACACAAACCAATCCCCCACTCTAATCCTTTTGCCGCCCATGTATGAAGAAGCCAGTCGTGTGCAGAGGCAAAAACAAGATTTTTTTTTTTTAAGATTTTATTTATTTATTTGAGAGGGAGAGAGAGAGAAAGCATGTACAGAGGGAGAGTCAGAGGGAGAAGCAGACTCCCCGCCGAGCAGGGAGCCGGATGTGGGGCTCGATCCCAGGACCCTGAGATCACGACCTGAGCTGAAGGCAGACGCTTAACCGACTGAGCCACCCAGGTGCCCCAGCGAAAGCAAGATTTTAAAAACATTTTTATTTTTATCATTCCTACCATTTTGCTATCTTAAACAGATACTAAAGAATTTGGGGCACAGGCTTGAAGGGTAAAGAGCCGAAGTCCAGAGGTATTATTTACCGCAGGTATTGATGCTAAGTTTTCTATCAGCCAAACCCCTTCTGGTAACATCTTCTAGCACTTGACAATTTTCTGACTTGCTTTAGAGGAAAAAAGAGAGCAATCTCCTCTCAGTTATAGTTCTCATATATGGCGTTTGGGGTGTTTTCTGTATGCTATATACACTTTGAAGGGCCATAATGAGCATTCAGCTTAAAGTGAACAAAGAACGAACATTTAGTAATATTTGAAGGTTGGCTCAGAAAGTCTAACATTTTAAGAATAAAAATGCATTCGCTTAAAGTGCAAAATCAAAAGGTAAACAAGTAGCATCCCTCACCAAAAGGCAAGTAATCTTTGAGTTTTTATGAGCTGTATAAGATACTTGAATACATTAGCAGCCATTAACTGATTCCAGTCAAAAAGAGACAGGTAACGTGCTGTTTTGAGGAGGAAGGCTCATGCCCATCCATGATGTTAAAAGGAATCACGGAAAAGGGACTGATTAAGAAGGAGGAATGGAGGGCATTATTAGAGATTTAACTTATAGACAGTATTGATTTTATGTCTTCATTTCTCTTTGAGAATTAACTCCCTGAGTCTCTCCATGAACGTTTGAACTCAGTGCGTGAACGTTTATACCACTGGGCGATGCATGAGAAGAACAGGCGAAGCGCTGTGCTGAAAGTGGTAATAAAATCCATGGTCTTAAGTTTGAATCCCCTTCCTTTTCCCTTCTGATTTTCCTCCTTCCTTTGTTCCTTCCTTCCTTGATTATTTGGTAAGTACCTGCCACGTGCTAGGTCAGCTCCGAGGATAACGCAAAGCCCGGTCTTCACGCATGCGCACGAGGCCTGTAATTGGGGAGCAGCTGGGGGAGTAATCTGTAATCTGTAATCTGGGGGAGCAGCCCAGAAAGTGCTAAGTGATTCTGTGTCTGGCTGGGATTATTATAGAGACCCCAAAAGATGGACTGCAACCCGAAAAAGAGCTAGCTCTGGAAAAAGGACACTGCCTGCTTCATAGTGTAAACCAAAAACAAACAAACAAACAAACAAAAAGCAAAAAACAAAAGTCCCACAAATGGTCAAGATGAGTGAGGTCAGAAGCAACATCAAAATACCAGGACTCCTGTTTTGACTTTCCTCTAAAGAGATCGATAACCTCGAGCAACTTCCTCTACATTTTAAATTGTTTCCTTCTTGGTAAAAGAAGCCTTAATACCATGGACTTTGTAGGGGACAATTATGAGGATGAAAAGGGATAGAATGTATGGAAAGACTTTGTGAATTACACAAAAAATATGACATAGTGCTGTCAGAAAGTGGGAGCTGGGTCATAGAGTGTCAAAGCTGGGTATAGAAAAGGTCAAGGGACATGCTAGGCACCCCTGTTAAGTCCAATTACAGGGAATTTGGAAAACAAGGGATTCACTTTTTTCCCTTTCTCATCGTCTCTTCCTACCATAGTAACCACATAATATTTATCAGGAAAGGATCTCAATTTAAGAAAATGTAGTATATGAAAAATTTATATTTACAAAATAAATACATTGTTCATTTCCGAAGGGACTTTTAAGTGACAAGTTGACATGGGAAGACAAAAATCCAGTAATTTCCTAAAAGCTGTTCTGTACACAACTTTTAAGCACAGCTGTGCATATAGTCTGGTATACGTCTATTGGATGGGTATTTTACCAAGTTTTAAACGTAGCTTTAAAAGCACCCAGGATGAAGCCACTGGGAACAACAGCGTTTCTGCTGGAATATTACAACTCTGATATTACAACATGGAACCGATTCCTATCTTCTCATAAAACAAATGGTCAATATTGGATCAGCTTCATTGTTCCTCCAAGGCCTACTGCAGACTAGGCTAGACTGAGCTACCTCAGGAAAATGTGGGGGTCGCTGTGTTACTCCCCAGTTAGTAAAGTCGCCTTTAGATATTCCATTTTGAGAAAGTGCTTTGTCCTTTATCATATTCCTGCCTCGGACTTTGCAGCTAACAGCCTGAATATTCCTATGGCTTGGATCATCACTTTGTTCCCCGGTTGTAACATATACAGTTTAATGGTCTTCTACTGAAGAGGGAAGATGAAATCATTATCCGTGATGTATTCTTTTCTGAATAGAGGCATAGCCACCTTCAGATAACCTTTGCAGTGGCCTCATAAAGAAGTGTTCCTGGAAGCTCTTGGAGGGATATTTTGCAAACCTATGCACAGGGCCCCAGACCATTTAAAATATTGATAGGCTCTAAGGTTATTCAATGACCCTATGAAATAATCATGCTTCTTTACTTCCAGATATAATCTGCTTGTTTTTTTTTTAAAGGGTTATTTTTCTCCTGCCTCATAAGAAAAAAAAAAAAACTTTTTGTAAGATAGATTGAAAAATTATGTTTTGCTTGCTTCCTGGAGAGACCAGCTGACAGAGAGAAACAGAAAATAAAGGAAAAAAGCCAAATCCCTGCCCGCACTGACTCAGCTCTTCACTGCTCCTGTTGTCATGAGTGGGTTTTGTCTTCCCTTTTCAGCTGCCAGGGATTAAGAGGAAAGAAAATAAAAGGGCAAGAAGGCTTGGCAGAGGAAGTTAATATCCGGTGCTTTGGTCTTTTGGAGGTTAAGCAGCTCCAGCTCTTTCTAAGGCACTCACCACGGAAGAGTAAACAGAAATTTGCTGCTATATGCGGTAGTAACGTTCCATTGGGCTTTCATGGTAATGCCTTTCCAGAGAAGACCAGGCATTCCTACAGTATAGCGTGACCAGGTATTTGGCCCAGGAAAACATTCCCATCCAAGGGATTTCCGCCCAGAAGAGTTCTTTGACAGAGTAAGATGGTAGAAGAAATGTCTGCAAGTAATTTTAAGAACCATCAGCTCTGAATTCACCTTTCCACCAGAGCGTTCTGTTTAGGTCCTTGCCACACACCAGCCAAACCCTCTGCCTTGCTTTGCTCCAGTCCTAACTGATGGCTCAGAAAGACTCAACCTTTCAGAACTTCAGTTGGTTAGTCTTCAATAAACACATAAATAAAGCCAAGCAGTTAAGGTCTGAAACCATCTACCCAAAGCTCTAACATGATGCCGGACAGAACACTTAGGTGCTTAGTAAAAATGTCCTAGCATCATCATCTGCTTACAACAACTGTTTAGCAAACACAGTGTATTATAATTCTACCTTTCTTTTTTATCAATGCCTCTCTGAGCTACTAAATTGTAGGCAGTTTTGTACTGTTTTTGAAGAATTGTAAATTGTATAATATAAAGAGCTCACTTTTATGGAGTAACTCTATTCCAACACACTGTGACAAATGGTTTAAGTAATTCAAGTCTATCTCATAGAAAATTTACAATAATCCTCTGAAATAAATATCATTAGCTTCATTTTAATAATGAAGAAACTGAGGGTTGCAGACTTTAAACAATTTTCCTATGATCTCACAGCTGGAAGTTACCAGAAACATGACAGAATAATTTATGGATGGCTAAATCACTGTTACCTGCAACACGATTTTAAACTCTATTTCTTCCTAGTTTAAGGTATTTTATTCATTCCATAAGTATTTGCTGAGTTCCTCCAATACCCAAGGCATTGTTTTTCTTATGTGCCATTGGTAGTTACTTCAAGGTCCTGGTGACTTTTTGCTTAGTAAATTGTACTTGTCTTCTGCAGAGGCAAGAGCAGACTGCAGCTAACCCCCCCCCCCCCCAGTCTTGTTACAATTCAGTATCCAAGTATTTGGCAAGAATCCTGTTTGCCTCTTAAGCCTTAGGTTAATTACAAACTTAGTTTTTTTTTCTGTTCTAGTTAAATCCTTTGTCTTTCAAACATCTTATTTTTTTAATAATCAAAATATTTGTTATAATGCTATAGAACCAGCTTTATGGCCATTTGTGTGTGCTACTTAAAAATAACCTTTAAATGATTATAAAAATGTCTATCATTGAATCTCATTAACTTTCATAAATAAAATTCTTTTTAAAAATATTACTACATCCAGTGGGCCCTAAAGATTGAGATTATTTAAGCAGATTCTCCTTCCACATTCTTGGAAGGTCATGCCAATTAGGTTGTACAAGTATTGTTTCAGGACTTCATATCCACTATATAGGAGATGGGCCCTCCAACCCAAATCACTCTTGCTCTGTGGCTTTCTTTGACCACATAGAAGTAGCCATAAAACTTGGCTGCTAAACTAGATTTTTACTAGATGAGCAATTTCGTCATAACTACAGGGAATGGAGAGAATGATGTTCACATTTTTGTTTAGCTTCCTTTCTTTTACTTCTTGGAAAGTCACTATGAAGAAATATTCATTCCTTCCTAGGCTCAATAGATCTGTGATTCTATGTATGTGAGCTCTGAAGGAACTAGCACTTTTGCCTTTTCCTATTTCCTCATTCTGGATCATGGCTTGAGAGGGAAAGAAGACACAAAGCTTCCAAATTCAGAAATTCATTTGGTGCATCAATTCACGCTAAACATGACCTGCTCCTTGCGCTTGGTGGATGACAGGAATCATCGTTTCTCTAGTGAATGAGGTCATTTGGCAAACAGAAGGAGCTCATAAATCTCCTCGGTGGTTAATCAAAGATGTGTTTGGTTGTTAAGGAGGGCATCCGTCCCCCAGAGTCAACTCACGACTTATGTGCTCATTATTGACTGCGGCTGTGTTGTGTTGAGACCTTTTTAGGAGAATGGCTTCCTCCAGTGCTCCGGCAACAGCCTACCCAACTCCATCAGCTCCCGAGGAACTTTGCAGCATTATGAGGGCAAAGAGCAGATTTCAATGGACGGGCCTTAACGTTCATTGTATCACTGTCCGTTTCCATTTAAATCAAGCCTCACACTTGATGGCTGAGATGAGCCAGTGTTTCTATTTAAGAACATGAATGGCCTTTCAGTATTACGTTTCACTTTGTTTGTCCTTGTCCATAGTTTAAGGCTCTAAGCCTTCTGGAAAGAGTGTACGTATTTCTGAATGTTTCTATTTTGCTCAGTAGGTAATGGTGGCATGGAAACTTTAGCTGCCCTCATGGAGACGGGATGGCCTTGCGCCATTTCACATAGTCACGCACATTCCTGACGGGCCCAAAATGTTTACTGTTGTTCTAATCCCTAGGAAAGAATGTTGAAAGGCTATTCCGTTGTGACTCATTTTATAAGGTGGTTGGGTTCTATAAAGATGCATGCAACTTGCATCATATTTTCAACAAACCGAGAGCGTTTGTGTTTAAACATCATTTCATCCTTTTCTTTAAAGAATTTTTCCTCTGAAAGTCCATCCAGTTTAGAAAGGGGAAGGGGCCCATGGGAACCTTGTACCTGCA